CACTCAATTACTTGTTTCTAGCATAATCTTTGTGTAAGACTGAAAATAAAAGAAGAAAAACTTTTAAGGGATTTACAGGAAGCATGATTCTTCTGATTTTTTTCACTTGTAAAATTTATGTTTTTGGATGACAGCAATGTATTTTACTTAGCAAGAAAAATTAATTTTATAGAGAATAAGTAGCAGAGTTATAAATCTACATTAGGAATTGAATTGGGGCTCATTCTTAGAATTGGTGATAATTCTTTTATCATCGCTCGTTATAATGTAATTAAAGTGTTCCATGCGTTTTCTTGAGATAGTCCAGTAGCTTGAACTTTTTTTGTTGGTTATGGGCTTGAAGTCAGGGTCTGGGTGCTGTTCCTAAGCTGTTTTTGCTTATGACTAGCACTCTACTACTTAGCCACAGCTCCACTCCCAAGTTTTTAGTTAATTGGAGATTAGAATCTCATGAGGCTGGCTTCAAACTGGGCTCCTTGGATCTCAGCCTCCTGAGTAGCTAGGGTTACAGGTGTGAGCCCCTGGGGCCAGGCTGAATTTTTTTTTTCAAGTAGTGTACTTCTAGGATGTTGATTCCTTTTCTTCTATGACCTGTATGTTAGGCATATGCTAAATTTTGGACAAGTAAAACTCACATAAATAATTAAATGTTTAATATATGATATTAGAGGCATGGTGCTCTTAGTTTTAGCATACTCATGCTCAGTCAAGCATATTATTTGTAATGCATTTTTGCTCAACTGATGATGTTGGCTTAATGGATGTTGTTACTGGAACCCATTGTGCTTTAAGATTAGACAGAAAGACAGAATTTTAACTCATAGAAACGCAAGACTATGCATTGACAGTACTCTAGTCACTGTGACCTGGATTTAGGGCACATGAGTTCTGTTTGCTGAATATTTGTTGTGACACAAGTATTCTTTTTTCTTTTTTTGCCTTGGCACTGTCCCTGAGCCTCTCTGTGCTCAAGGCTAGCACTATACCATGAGCCTCAGTGCCACTTCTGGCTTTTTCTGTTTATGTGGTACTGAGGAACCCAGGGCTTCATGCATGCTAGACAAGCACGCATTCTACCACTATGTGTGGCACAAGTATTCTTATAACATGTATTCTTGATATGTGTTTGATTTGTGCCTGTTAAGTGAATGTATGGACTAAAAATCCAGGGAAATTTGTGCATTTAAGTTTCTGTGTTAAGTAAGTTCAGTGAGCCTACTTTCTCCCTAGGGATAGGAAATGAACCTGTTTTAAACCTCTTAAAAAATACCTCCCCCACTTCTTAGAACATGGCTACTTACGACTTTGAGCCATTTTAGTAGACTGAATCTGCCAAGCTAAGATTCCAATTTCCAAATAAATAACAAGAATAAATTAGATCATTTATAGTTAAACTGAATATAAGAGCCAAGATATTCATGTATTCTATAAGCAAGTAATGTGAATTTGACATTTTGAAGTTATGCCTACACCTGAGAGTCAATATCTTTCATCCTCTCTTAGAAAAATATTCAAGGAAGTATTTTATGTTAACTTAATTCTTGACTCTTCATATTTTAGGGGATTTATTGGGTGTTGTTTATTCCATTCATAATGAAGAAAATGTGAATTATACTGATAAAGTAGAGTTCTTAAAAATTCAGTGTCTTTCAGACTTTGCAATCATATGACTAGACAAAACAAATAAGTTTAAATTTAGATTTTTAGTATTTACTTTTGGTAATGCTTTAAGAAAAGCATAATCAATAGATTATAACAAAATTAGTGACAACAAAACTGGACAACTCAAAATATAAAAGAGGTATAATTGTATGCTAAAACATATAAATATTAAGTGTTAAAATATTGGACTTTTTACATTTACATTGTTAGCAGTATTTAACAATTTTTTATTTTATTCTGTATCAGCAAAATTGACAGAAAAATTTAGCTACAAAGTCTATAGCATTCATATTATCACAAGAGAGAGTAGAGCCATGCCTGTTGTCCAATGGAATTGTCTGACAAATATAGTCATATAGACATTTGGACATAACTGACTTTTTAATCTATAAATTATCATCTTTTCACGTATCCATGTATGGATCTATCATATATCTGTTTATCACTCAATCGTTTCTATTATCACTTTATCATTTATGTATGTATGTGTCTATCAATATCTGTCATCTCTATCATCTATTTATATACTTGTATACGTTTGTAATATCATCTAACTACCAACTATTTGTATACCTGTGTACATATGTTTGTTTGTATGTATGCATTTATTATTTGTTTTATCTGTCACCTTTTATTTATTCATATACTCATGTATGTATTTGTAATATATCTGTCTATTGCTCAAATTTTCTATCATTGAACTATCATCTATTTATCTATTTATATACCAGTGTATATATGTTTCTGTCAATTTGTCTCTCTCATCTGTTTTTTTTGTACTTTTTTTATTGTAAAAATACTGTACAGAGAGGTTACAGAGCAAGGTAGTGAGTACATTTCCTCTTGAGCATTGTTGCCTCCTCTGTTTCCCCGCTATCATCCCTTCCCTCCCACATCCACAACTACCCCCTCACCAAAGTTGTAAAGTTCATTTTCAACATAGTGTCTTGTACATCTCATTGTTACAGTGGGTCAACCTGTATCCCTATTTAAGCATTTTGTTTTTTCCCTTCCCCTCCCCAAATTAGAGAAGTGTATATACAAGATGCAGGGCACCGATATCAAATACAGTGAAAAAAGGGGTTATACCGTGGGGGAGGAACAAAACAAAGGAACAAAAACATCAGGTGGTATATTATTAATACATTAGAAACAATAGCAAGAAAGAAAAAAAATATTTGCGTCCCTATCTTGGGGTTCATTTCACTTAACATTATCTTATATGGTCATATCTCTCATCTGTTTTTTTCTAAATCATCTATACACTTGTGTATAAATATCATCTATCATCTATTTATATACCAGTGTATTATGTATGTATGTATGCATGTATGTATGTATCTATCTATCCACCTACCTATATCTCTCACTAGAGCAAATAAATTAGAATCTACCCAACATGGTTTCCCAGCAAATTTTATAGATGATAAACTGCACAGTGTCATCACTGGATTTTACCAGAAGCATCAACTTTGGGTGGGCTGCATATGAAGACCACTTTTGCTCATAAATATACACTATATATGTATGTCTGTACTTAGGACAAGGTGGTGGAAAGAAGCTTAGCCATCATGTGAGAAATGGGGTACAAGCCAGACGAGGTCAAACGGAACACAATTTTTAAGACATGGGTTAGTGGAGGATATGGTTAACTAGTTTTTCTTTGTTGTTACAGTGGGGCGAATTCTTAGCTTCAAAGACTCATTAAAGTAGCTTCAATTTAAGGAAAAAATATTCTTCTTGAGGGACTGAAATTCCCCTGTGCATAACATCTCAGTGGTTCTGTTAATTAATTCAGATAGAAACAGCATTGAAGAAATCACCAGACCTTATTACTGGGTATAAGTCATTTTGCTGTTGTACAGATGGCAGAATTTTCTTTTGAATAATAACATTTGTATTAGTCATATTTCAGTTGTAATATTATAGTCTTGAGAAGAAAGACAGAGCTGTTTACATACCTGTAGTTTTTAAAACTGGAAATCCAAAAGGAAATAAAAACATTTCCTTTTGCAACTTCTTTGCAACTTCTCTATTATCTCAAGTATTCTAGTAAAAATCTAGTAGCTCATAATCTTCACTGTTAATCCATATGTTTATTATAGTGATGTGATTTTTTTGAGAAGTAATTTGTAAGTAGTTTAGGCTGTGGCAATTTCTAACCCTTGCATAGAATGTGTCAGTCATTTTTAAAAAGGCCATTTCAGTAGTTATTGTAGTATTATAATATTTGCCTTTTATCTTTCTAATATATTTCCAAGGAAAAACAGGAACAGAAACTAAGAAACTGAAATACATGGATTTGTATACATTTCTTTTGTAAGTTTTCTTATCTCCCATACCTGTCTTCTGTGAAATTTTGTGTGGCCTGCATACCTATAAGCCTAATATACTTGGTCAGCAGTTAGCTGGCTACATAGCTTCTGATGGGCAGGCATGCTTTACTAAGAAGCTATTGTTGTAACTAGAGATCCAGGGCAAGAACAATTTCCTTGATTTAGTTTAGTATATCAAATGTGAAAAAGCCACTTGCTCATTTGTTTTCCTAATATGTCAAATAATAAAATGGGCTCATAAATTGATATGTCCTAAGTTAGAACTTTTAATGTTTTTTTTTATAGTTTTGGTAATTCTTTGCTTTTCTGCTGATACCAGAGCTTGAACTCAGGACCTGGGTGTTTTCCCTTAGCTTTTTTGCTCAAGGCTGGTACTCTGCCATTTGATCCACAACTCCACTTCTGGCTTTTTGATGGTTAATTGGAGATAAGTCTTGTGGACTTTTCCCAGAAAGTCTTAAAAAAGCAGTCCTGAGATTTCAGCCTCCTGAGTACTTAGCATTACAGGGTGAGCCACTGGGGCCCAGCTTAAAGTTATTTTCCTATCTCTCTATATTACATCTCTATGCCATGCTTTATTGTTAATTAGAAAAAATATAGACCAGAGAAAAATTATAGAAGATGCAGTATAGTTCAGAAGAGGACTTGTTTTTAACACATCAGTTCAGCTAATGCAATTTTAACTTAGCCCATTAGATGGCAGGATGTAGCTTGGTATGGAGAGCAGAATGGAGGGAGAATTAACCCAATTCTCTGTATGTATCTGTGTGTTGAGAAGGTAGCTCTTCTATGTATGAAGTACATTTGTTGCACATGCTCACTCATTCCAGTGGTTCAGGTTATAAGTAACCTGTATGACACAGGTGTCTCCGTCTGGGATGCAGACACTCAAGATGATAATACGGTTTAACCCTTTACTTCATAGTGTGGAGAAATAATATGCTAAGTGATACATTCTCTACCTTAATGACATTGCCATTTTTTTCTTTTCCCACTCTCCAGGTGACTTGGATTATTACTGGCTGGATCCTGCCACGTGGCATAGTCGGGAGGCCTCACCTATTAGTTCGGTAAGCTTTCTAGGAAGTGAGTGCAGCCTATGTGTGCACTGTCCTTTGCCCCATGCTGATCAATACTAATCGTATTCTACTGCATTATTCATTTTATGAGAACAAATAGCAATTCGATTTGACAGCTTTGAACACAGGAGTAAGTATTACTAAATAATGCACATTTTTAATTAAGCACACATCATTGTTGTTTTTTTCCCACAGTGAAATCTTTTCTAATGAAGTCTTTTAGAAAATGCCTTTTTTCTGTTTTTCTCTCATACATGGAATTTTTAAATATAAATATAGAAACATCTACATAGTCATATGTATATGCACACAAATATACTGACTAAAGTATGGTCTGTGCAAGGGAAAATTCCAGTTGTGTAGCTTCTTTGCACAACTTAGTCTAAAAGAATGAATACCGGAATACCAGAGATCTGGGGTGTCAGTGGGAGGAGTGAGGTTAAGGGGAGGGGTGTAGATGAATGAAGAGAAGAATAGTGGGCAAGTGTAGTCATAATAGTAAGTGTACATATGTGAAAATGGAACTAGGAAAATTGAGAGTGGTGGGGTTGGGAGAGGTGGGGGTGAGTGATGGAAGGGATGGCATTTATCAAGATGCATTGTGCTTATGAATTCACATTTTGCATTGGAACCCCTTTGTACAAAGTTAATAAAAAATCTTAGTAAAGAAAATGGATTTCTTGAATCGTGACAAAAGGGAAATAAGGATAGAATTATTAACTCTATCAGAAAAGAAATTATATCCTTATAATTTGTAATTAATTTAGGGGGCCTTTTGTATTTAAGAGCATTCATTAATGTTTAGAGTTAAGTTCCTATCCAGCTAGCAGAAATCAATGTTCCGTCTAATGATAATTTGTAAGATTTTTTTTCAGATGTTGTGACATTTTTGCAGATGAAAATTAAAATTAAACTTCAGCTAGCAACTTGGCTCTCAACAAGTTGATAGAGGCCCTGAATTCAAACCACACTACTTCCAAAAAATATAGAAACAAGAAACAAAATCCTGGGCCATTAATGACCATTCATGCCTGGAATCCTACTGTTCAGGAGTCTGAGGCCTATAGGGTCTTGGGTCAAAACCAGCCTGGGACAAATCTATGACAATCCACTTTTAATTAACTAGTAAAAAGCAGGCCTAGTGATATTGCTCAAATGATATAGTACCACTTGAACCAGAAAGCTGAGCAAGCACAGTTTCTGAATTTAAACCTTGGTCCTAGACAAAATAACAACAATAACAACAAAAGCAGCTCTGTGTACCAGTGGCTTCTACCTGTAATCCTATATACTCAGGAGGCTGCCATCTAAGGACTGTGATTTAAAGCCAGCTTGGGCAGGAAAGTCCTTGAGATGCTTATCTCTAATTAACCACAACAAAGCTGGAAATGGAACTGTGGCTCAGGTGGTTGAGTGTCAACCTTGAGAGAAACAAATGAATGGACAGAGTTTAGGCCCTGAGTTCAAGTCTCAGCACACACACACATACACACACACACGCACACACACACTCAAGTCTCAGTACACACACACACACACACACACACACACACACACATACACACACATACACACAGAGTCTAGGTTGGGATTCCCCAGAATTTTCCTGGATAATAAATCTTTATCCCTGGTGCTGAGGAAATATGCTATGTGGGTAGCCAAATACTCTCTTTCTCTTCCCATTTAAAACTTTTTCATAGGCATTTCATGGGCATTGTGGAAAGGAATTTACAACCTCTCAACTTCCTCCCCAAAAAAAACATCCCCATCATTTTATTCTTTATCAGAGAAGTCCCAGAGAAAAGAGAGAGAAGATGCAGTTCATTAGGCTGGGTTAGGTAGAATGGTAGATCACATAGCGCTCATGTCCTACTGGACCAAACTTTTTTTTTTTACAATCCTGGGGCTTGAACTCAGGACCTGGGCACTGTCCCTGAGCTTCTTTTGCTCAAGGATAGCACTCTACCACTTGAGCTACAGCGCCACTTCTGTGCATGTGGTACTGAAGAATCAAACCAGGGCTTCATGCCTGTAAGGCAAGCACTCTACCACTGAGTCACATTCCCAGCCCAATGGACCAAATCTTTTGAGGCACTAGAGGAGAAATCTCAGCAGCTTTCTTCATCTTCTCACAGTAACATGAAAGACAATGCTGGAAATTAAAATAGCAGAATTTTGGCCTCCAGTAAAGACAAATGAGGTTGCCCTTCATGCAGCCTGCACCCCAAAAAACTGTCTGAGTCTATGCTAGCGTCAGGTTTAGTGATGGATAAAACCAGCATGGACTTTTTTGGTGATATTTACAAGAAAATGATGATGGTCTGTTCAAAGTGAAGGGTCATGTGATTTTTCATTTTTCTTGTCTAGTGTTCTTTTGTATTGTGAAAAATAAGGTATGTCAGTCAGGGGCTGATGGCTTATGCTTGTAATACTAGCTACTCGGGTGGCTGAGATCATAGAATCATAGTTTAAAGCCAGGATAGGTAGGAAAATCTATGAGACTCTTATTTCCATTTAAGCATCAAAAAGCCAGTGGAGGTGTGGCACAAGTGGTAGAATGCCTGGCTTGAGTGAGAAAGTTAAGGGACGGCACCCAGGCTCTGCCAGCATACATGTAAAAAAATTTTCCTTATTGCCTATAACATTATTCTCTCTTGTCTCCCCTTCTCCCAGTCTTCTTCTCTAATAGTCCCTCTTCTATTTTCATGTTTTCCCTATTTTCTCTTTAGATTGCAAAATATGAGAAAACAAAAAGCTTTATTAAATAATGTCTACTATATATCTAAATGAAATTGAGATGCACAGGTGCTCCTCATTTTATGTTGTGGTAACATTTTGATAAATATATTGCTTACTTAAAATATTGTTGGTTGAATAAACCTAAGTTACAGAATGCAGTTGTTTAGCAGCTCTCCTGTGTTGGGTATAGGCTTTCTATTGGTGACCGATCGCACAGTATCCTGGGAGCTGTGATGCCAACTGCTCACCAGCAACCTCACATAGGAGCACAAAACCAAGTTATCACCAACCAAGACAAAAGATAAAAAAATGAAAATTCAAAGTGTGGCTTCTACTCAATGTGTAACACTTTTGCACTACTATAAAGGGCAAAAAATATTATAAGATAAACCATTGTGATTTGCAACCCATTTGGCTAAGGATTCCATTGACATGAACAACTCAAACTACAGAACCATTTTTCTTTATGTAAACAGAAATATTTTCAAATGTCAATGAACTTCATTTTTAAACCATTTTAACACATGTACTTAGGCGACACTTACTTTAGCATAAGTGTCATTTAGCCTAAGTGTCATTCTCAAATAAAATAAACTAAATGAAAAATGTTACAGACCAATGATTGTGTTCACTAGAATAAAGAATTTCCTATGGAACATTTTTTTTTGATGCCTGTACTGAGACTTGAACTCAAGTCCTGAGTACTGGTCCTTAGCTTTTTATTCAAGGCAAGTGCTCTACCATTTGAGCCACAACTCCATTTCTGGAAACAAGAGTCTCATGGACTTTCTTGCCTAGTTTTGAATTGTGATCCTCAGATCTCAGCCTCCTGAGTAGGTAGGGTTACAGGAGTGAGCCACCAGAACCAGGCTTGACATATTTTTATAAGTATAAATTAAAATTGTACTAATAGGTTTCATTATGATATTTATGTATTGTGTATATCTTAGAGTTATTTATTAAACACATTTTACAAAGGAAGGGTGGGCCATATTTTTTAATTCCAAATGTTCTTAAGGATATCAAAAAAGTTAAAATCAGCATCATCTGATCAGACTTTTAAATACTAGGTGACTATCAAGTATTGTACTAATAGAATTTTTAAAAAGATACACCCATCCCTTGATTTCCTACGGAGTATCTTAACAAATAAAATTGTATCATGCTACAACTAATGATGGTGTGTCTATAGGAAAGAAAGCAAGTTCTTTACTTTTTAAACTTTGTATTTTAATAGCATCCTGTAACGTGGCAACCGTCTAAAGAGGGTGATCGGTTAATTGGACGTGTTATTCTTAACAAAAGAACAACCATGCCCAAAGAATCAGGTGCATTACTGGGACTTAAAGTAAGTATGATGGGGCTGGGAAGGTGGCTCAGTGGTAGAGTGCTTGCCTTGCATGCATGAGTTCGATTCCTCAGTACCACATAAGCAGAAAAAGCTGGAAGTGGTGCTGTGGCTCAAGTGTTAGAGCGCTAGCTTTGAGATGAAGAGCTGAGGGTCAGCGCGTAGGCCCAGAGTTTAGGCCCCATGACCACCACCACCAACAACAACAACAAAAAAGTAAGTATGATGGTTTAAAATATTTCCTAATTCTCATACAAAAATGCATTCACATATATTCTGACAATGACTTTCAAGTATCTTCCTCCCTTTTTGAAGTAACATTCTTCTAATGGGTATATGATGTCCTATGTGAAGTATTTTTATTTTTGTATTTTTAAAATTTTTACTATTATTAGTAATAGTAATAGTAATAATTTTACTATTATTACTATTATTAAAATTTTTACTATTATTAAGGAGATATACAGAGGGGTTTCAATTTTAGAAGGTGAACTATGAATACAATGTATCTTGACCAATGTCAAGATATATTGGGAAAATTCAATTTTTTCTAAATATAAAGTTTAAGGGTAATTTTATATTTAAAAGATTTATGTGTGTGTGTGTGTGCATGCATTTGTGCCAGTCTTGAGGCTTGAATTCAGGCCCTGGGTGCCATCCCTGAGCATTGTGCTCAAGACTAATATTCTTACCACTTTAGCCACAGCTCCACTTCTGGCTTTCCTTTTGCTTATAAGAGTCTTATGAACCACGACCCACAGATCTCAGCCTCCTGAGTAGCTAGGATCACGTGTGTGCCACTGGAACCTGGCTTATATTTTTCACAGTTTTAATGGGAAACAGTAAAGTTGAATATTGCTTACTTTTTATGTGCTGTGCAGCTAATCATAAGACCTCAATGAGGAGATTGTTTTTTAATAACAGTTCCACATCAATTTAAAAGGGTAAGATGTGTACTGAAGATAATCTGTGTTATATAACACCAGCCTAGAAAGCTTAAGGCCCTGGATTTAAATTCCAGTACCACCAAAAACATAGGAGTGAAATGTATCTTTCAAACATAATAATTATCTTCTAATAAATATGATACATGATAGATTACAAAAAGGTTGTTCTACTTTGTAGAAAAGTATATATACATATTGGGCATATATGTGCAATTGTGAAAAGTATATACTTATGCATATATGTATGTATATACTCATAAATTCATCCTTCCATATATATCTTGAGTTATGTATGTGGAATATCCATGTTAAATCACCAGGTTTTGATTTCAGTTACTTAAATATTTTATATACTACTCTTACGTATTACAAGATTATATTGCAATTGTGTTGCAGTTTGACTTTTTCAAAACCATTGGCCATTAATCAGATAAAAACATAAGTTCAGAGCTAGGGTTGTGATTTAGCAATACAATGCTGTCTGAGTATGCACTAGGCCCTGGATTTGAAAGCCAATGCAGAAGAAAAAAAAGAGTGCAATTCATAAGCTTCATTCTATTTTATTTATTATCCTTATGAAATAATTCTTATTATCTGCATTAATAGGTTCCTAAAAACTGTAGATCAGCCTCAATATTAGTAATATTTCTTCATGTTTAGTTCGGTATGTTTGAGTCACTGCATTGAGAAAAAAATTGACCTCGAGTTTTTCAGATGGTTCAAATTTGAGATGTTATGGAATGCCAGATGAAAAGTTCTGTGAACAGCTTTGGCTTTGGGAGGCAAGAACAGGTATATTTCAGTTGAGAAGATCTTAGATGGTCAGTTGTAGACATACAGTTAGGCTATTGCCTTTACACCATGCTGATTACCAGCATGGCTTGTTCTTGCTTGAATCTTCATGACTGTGGAATGCTAATTTCTACTACACACATACAGGAGATCTAAATTGGATAGGACATTAGATCATTGTAGATATTATTCAAAACATTCAAAAAAAACTTCAGCCAGGTCCTACTGCCTGTAACTAGCTACTCAGGAAGCTGGGATCTTAGGATTGAGGTTTGAAGCCAGCCCAGGCAGGAAAGTCCATGAGACTCTGATCTCCATTTAACTACCCAAAAGGTAGAAGCAGAACTGTAGCTCAAATATTAGAGCATTAGCCTTGATCAGAAATGCTTGGGGACACTGCTCAGGTCCTGAGTTCAAATCCCAATACTGGCACCAAACCAAAAAGATAATACAATAAATAAAGAACCTAAATTAAATAGTGCCAAACACAAACAATTGTTGTTTGAATAGTAAGGCAGGGTGATTTGGCACACATTGTTATATATTATTTATCATAACTTTTTATTGTTTATTTTATCCTTCTATTGTTATTATTTATTTTATTATTATTGGTATTGTTACTTATTACATGCTAATCTAATCTCATATATAATAAAATACCTTCTTTTCTATACTGTACTACTAGTTCTTTTAATCAGGACAGTATTATGCTTCATTGAAGTCCCTATAATTTATTGTAATGGCATTATAAAATTATCTGGGCATAATTCATCAAAATAAAGTTATATGTCAGTGTGAGTCTTGGGAACTTAGACATTTTTAATTGTCCAGGTTGTTGGAGGAAAAATGACTGACTTAGGACGCCTGGGTGCTTTCATCACCAAAGTGAAGAAGGGTAGCCTTGCAGATGTTGTTGGCCATCTAAGAGCAGGTAAAGTCCTTTCTCATCTTTCATCAGTGCATTCTCTGTTCATGAGTTAGTGGATTTCAATCTGCTGTTATCTATGTATGAGAGTGAAGTCATTAATTTATTGCCAAGCATGAATTCACCTTCCTCATAGAGTTACCCATTGCACTGACTGATTGCTGTACTAAGTACAGTTTGGAGGCCATAAGAGTAGAAATCTTTCTTTAAAAAACACACTGATAAAAATAATGAGAGATTATTTTTGCAGGTCATTTCATGGTATTGCTACAAACTTCTAATCTAAAACAATTTAACTTTGTGAAAAAAATCACACGTTACAATTTCATTCTTTGGTTTCATTTTTAGCCACAACAGTTACTACAGTCTTGCCTAATTGTTCCAAAACACTTATTTAAGAGTGGAGATTTTCATACAACATGAGTGTACTGTTTTATTTTTCTAAACAGATTATGTAACAAAATGTTTGTTCATTTAAATGTGACATATATTGTACGTTTGGAGAATTGCCACTTCTTTGGTATTTGAAAATAGCACAATAGAATTAGGTAATATATCCAAATGTATCATATAAGCAGTGGCAACACAGTTTTAAATTGTTTACTTTTAGTGTTAGTTAAAATCATATTAACTTTTCTTCCCATTTATTTCACTTTAGAGTGTACTAGAAATTTTTGTTCAGAGTATCTACTTATGCATTTGTCAAGCACTTATAAAGAAATGTTACAGCACCTACCTACCAAGCATAAGGCCATGGGTTCAAACTCCAGGACTCACACATACGTGCTCAGAGGTGGCTGAGGTGTAGCATTAAGTATCAGTAACCCATAGCATACAGAAAGCATACAGCCCATAATTCCAATCTATATCCTCAAAATTTGTAGTCTTTGAGAACTTAAAAACATTCAAAGACATCTTAAGATATATATGCATATATATGTTTGATTGCTAGTATAGCAGTGCATAATTGATCCACGTGCTTTATTTTGAACAGACTTGTTAAGCAGGCATGGTGTTGGTAGAAAGCCCCAATTAGGGATTTTCCTTCAAGCAGTAGCTAGATAGCTTAGAAAATGTGCCAAGTATGATGCACTATTGTTTCTGAGAGAGATGAGTTAATGTTTCAAGAAGACTTGGTAAACTAAATCTTTTGTCTAATGACTCAAAAGTATAAAAAAGTATAAAAATCTCAAAAATATAACTAATGAAAGAAAACTTTATCCAAAGAAATCTGGCTGTGTGACAATGGCTCACAGCTGTAATCCTAGCTACTCAGGAGGCTAAAATCTGAGGATCACGTTTAACGCAGAACCAGGCAGGAAAGTCTGTGAGGCAATTATCATTAGTTAAAAAACAAAAAATCAAAAGTGGGAGTTTAATTCAAGTGGTAGTGTGCCAACTTTGAGCAAATAAAAGTAAGGGATAGAGCCCAGGACCAAGCCTCATCGTTGGCATCAAAGGGAGGAAAAAGAAAGAAAAGTAAAGACAAGAGAGAGAAAGAGGAAGGAAGGAAGCAAGGAAGGAAGGATGGAAGGACGGAAGGAAGGAAATTTTAGTGGAAGATTATAGCTAATTAAAGGACTTATTCTCTATTAAATATTTCTAAATGGTTGGTTTCATTTATTAACTAAGCTTCTGAGAACCTAAGAAATTTAAACCTGTAATTTTAATAAAGCCTCAAGGAAAAGAAAGTACGTATGTGTACTTTTCACTTTAAACAATGAATAGTTTGAAAAAGTAAGTTATTTTGTGCACTGGACTGTGTAGTCTCTTTAGTATATATTGTAATATAGGAAATTGTTGCATGAAAACGCCATTTGTTTATAAAAGCTACAGTGTTATTTTATCAGCATGCACTTCATTCACCTTTTGCAATCGTGCTTTACTCTTCCTGCAGTCCTGCCCCCCCTCAAACCTGTGCACGTCCTTGCTGCTTGATTTAACAGTCTAAAGCAGAATCCACACAGATGAGCTCCTGGTTACTAAGACCCTTCAGGGTCTCAAGGTCACTCCTTGATCAAGTCAACACTCTGTATCTTTGTCTCCTAGCATTTTCAGCCCTCTAGCTATGTCAGTCTACCTGTAGGTCTCTGGCAAGCTTGACCAGCACCTGTTACAGGCTTCCAGGTTACATTTCTGTTCTGCCTATTGAAGGCCTTTCCATCCTTCAAACCTAATCTTTTTTTGGGGGGGTCCAATCGTGGGGCCTGAACTCTGGGCCTGGGCGCTATCCCTCAGCTCTTCAGCTCAAGGCTAGCGCTCTACCACTTGAGCCACAGCACCACTTCGGGCTTTTTTCTTTTTGCTTATGTGGTGCTGAGGAATTGAACCCAGGGCCTCATGCATGCAAAGCAAGCACTCTACCACTGAGCTACCTTCCCAGCCCCAAAACCTAATCTTAAGTTGCCCCAGTGCAAACGTGTTTCCTGAGATGCCATCCTGCAGTCACTACTCCCAACCTGGCATGTCTAGGTTCTACTTTTGTGCCACAAATGAACTTCTCTCATTGCATGAAACAGGTTTTTTTAAAGTTATTTAATTTCATATTATTTCTCCACCACCATATATAAAGACAGAAAAAATACCATTTTCATTGATGTACCCTTTTGTCTAAATCTATGCCTGAAATTTTATCAGTGTATAAATAAATTTTATTAGACTACTTTCTGGATTACAAGCTATTGATCTGGGGATAAATAAATGCTTCTTAATTTAATTTGATATGAAAAGATATGCTTCCAGATTTCTATGTAGGAGCAGAACTTTACAGTGTAGTACTTACACAAAAACACTGGTTGTAATTCATTGCTAAGTAGTAAAATGAATTTGTTTGCATTCATAAATTTAAAAATATAATGGAATAGGATATATCAGGGTAAGTATTTAAACTTTTCTAGCATATATATGTATGTGCACAAACATGCACATATATATGTATGTATAATGTTATTACATATACTTATTTAAGCTATTTTTTCTTTGTTGGAAAAACTTTAAAAATTAACAGATTGTAAACTTAAGATGATTTTCTTCCTTTATTTCTTTTACCTTCTTTTCTTTTCCTTCTCTTTCCTGAACAATGATGTATACTTACATATTCCTTATTTGAAAACCTTTCCTAAATGTATCTGCTTAAATTATTAGAAGAATTGGTAATAACCCTGTTGTTATTTGGCTAGTGCTGTTTAGTATTGATAGCAAGTGAAAGCAGCACACATATTTTCCAATATTTACCTGCTATTTTTCAATGAAGGAACACCTGGAGGAAATTAAGAAGTACTTGAAAGCAACTCCCTTGTAACAATTCCTTTCTGTTGTTTTTGTAAATTTGACCTGTTCTAAAACTAAAAGATTTCATATTTGAGCCTATATATTTTACATTTTAATGATATTAATTTACTAGTATAACTCCTACTTATTTGTATCCTACTATGCCAGAAGCTAATAACAACCAACTAGCATGAACCTCAACAAATGAAGATACCGCTAAGTGTCTCTGAGGCTGGGCTACTTCAGCTGAGTCTTCCATTTGCAATTTAAGGGTCCTGAGATGGGAACTCTCTGGGAGCTAAGACTGCTATACATATTCATGAGAATAAATCTGTTTTCAAATGACCTATCTTGGAAACTCCAGCTAAAACTACAACTATTAGTTATTATCTCATATATGTTCATGGAACTTCATTAAACACTTTTTGACTAATCTTGGATTAATTCACAAAACTAGTAGCATGTTTTTTAAAAATTGTTTTAAGCATTTCCTTGTTCTTTCAAATTCAGTATCTATTATAGAATGTCTGTTTTCTGAACATCTGGAAGTGGGTTAACTGTCATGCAACAGTTTTACATCTGCTTGCTTTGTAACTCTGCACTAGCTACCTGTGTTACCCTTGGGTGTGACTTCAAATCCTTTCATGCATTTCTATTCACTTGGGCATCCAGTGAAGACAAATAGAGTGATTCTTAATAGAAAAACTCATGCTAGCAAGCTTTTTGCTGCACTTTACCTAAAGTAAAACAGGACTTCTGCACAGTTGAAGAAGAAGCTTTCATTTATGGTGCTGTGTACTTACGATATGAGGCATGCTGCCAGTTGTTATTTTTAATGTTCCCAAATAGGCTGTGCCAATTCCATCCCATAGCATGAGATTGATCTATAATAATATTTCTGGTATATCTCAAAATATAAAGGCAGTTTTTATGCTGTTTCCAGTGAGCACTAACATTTGTGGGAGGAAGTAAATACAAAAAGGCAAAACAAAAGAATAAAGGTGTTTAGAAGAAACATTTAGCTGACATTATATAATTTGCTTTTGAGAGCAGAACCTAAAGGATTAACCTATTTGTATCTGTCTTGCATTTCTTTGTTAAGAAAGAGAAAAGATAAGAAAAATAAACAGAATATATAAGGTAAAAAAATACCCTTTTTTTTAAATTCAAGGGGATGAAGTTCTAGAATGGAATGGTAAACCCCTGCCTGGAGCTACAAATGAAGAAGTTTACAACATTATTTTAGAATCAAAATCAGAACCTCAAGTTGAAATTATTGTTTCAAGGCCTATTGGGTAAGGCTAAAAAAAACTTGCTTCTTAAGTTTAGTAAATTACATGTATTAGCAGGGTTTTAAGAAAGAAGTTTATACATTCATATAGCACATGATAATGTGGATAGAGTTTTCACATCAATTATTGGCATATATTTTAGGTTTCTAAAATAAAAAAATAAACACACTGAATTTCCTTCAATATATTTCTGAAGCTCCACAAATTAACAATTAAAATATCAAAAAAGTATGGATATGTTCTTCTCACAAGAGAACTACAAAGTAAAATATTTTCTTTTAGTGGTTGGACTACTTATTGTTTAGTTATTCTAATTTAAGGAATATTATTTCCTTTAAAAGAGTCACTAGTAGGCACATTTTCTTGTTATGATTATAATATGAATGATTTTATATGTCTACATGAACTTGTGTGTTTTTAAATTGTGCTGGTCCTGGGGCTTGAACTTAGGGCCTGAACATTGTCCCTGAGCTTTTTTGCCCAAGACTAGTGTTCTGTCACTTGAGCCATAGTTCTGCTTCCAGCCTTTTGGTAGTCAATTGGATTTTCTTTCCTAGAATGGCATAGAACCACTACCCTCAGATCTCAGCCTCCTGAGTAGCTAGAATGACAAGCATGAGCCACAAGGCTATTGGACTTATTCTACAAAGACAATTGTTTCTGCATATTTATTAATGAGTGGTTCAAAGTTTTATTTAAAGTAAACAAGAAATTTAAATATTTAAATTGGTTGTAATAGTTGGTATGCTCTTTTTACAACCTCAGTATTCATTGTTAATTATCTTCAGCCAGTGGAATGCTTTCCCTATCTGGACTTCTTCATGATTTCCTTATATACAGACACAAAGCCCAAAGTAAACCCTCATTTTTCCAATCAATGGTTTTTAGGGGGCTTTGTGCACCAGCTTATTATAGTTGACTTCATGTTTGAACATGGTCTTGGAAATGACTTCTTATTCTCCCAGATATTATACAACCACTAATTCAAGACAGTTTATGTTGAAAATTTTACCTTTTTTGTTTTCTTCATGATTATATGACAATGCAAAGCAAACAAGAAAATAGAAGTATCCTCATTTCAAAGAATCAAAAGTATTTAATCATATATCAAAGAACAATATTAGTTTATAAAATTCTAAAAGTAAGGCAAGTTTTAATCACTTTTAAGTGGTGATTAATTAAAGTAACCATTGAAGACATTTGCCAAAATATTGTACATTTACATGAAGATTTTTTTAAAGATCATGGTTATTTGTGCTAGTTTTTACATGACATATGTTCTAGGAGTGAGTACAATATAAGACTGGAAAAGAGGTAAGTAAATTGGAAAATGAATCAAAAGTATGAAAATACATCTTAAAATAAAATATGAAGCATGTTGTCAGATACTAGCTACAATACTAATTTATGGTGACTTAAAAAATCAACAGACAATTAAAGTAGACTGGAAACCCCTTATTTTTATTTTGCATGAAAATCACTTACAGTGTGATCATCTGCATAGACAAATCTTAAACTATGGACTATGGAATTCAAAGGGCACAATTTAAATGAAAATCAAAGCAGACATCAACTTTCTAATTAACACATTAATTATGGTTTTGTTTTAATAGTTTAATATTTATATTTAGTGTACTTCCATTTAGCTATCATTATTAACTTGAAGCAGGAAATAAATACTAAGTCATAATTCACTAAGCATCATAATTTCAGGAATTGTTTTCCTTATATTTTAGCCACACATTGATCAGTATTGAGTCATCTGCTATCTTGACTTAGCAATCATCTTTTGAGCCTGCCAAACACAATATTTCTGACCTTTATCATTGTTTTGAAAACTACCACATAATTTGTAGCAAATACGCCTGAGAAATTAACACTAAAAAATTAAATTTTAAGATCCTGCATGGTAGCTCAGTGTATAATTCTAGCAACTCACGAAGTGAGTGTAATTCCAGCTAACATAGGCAAAAAAGTTTTTGAAGCTTCACTGCAACAGAAATATCTAAGCATGGTCATACTTGTCTGTAAATTTCAGCTTCAGAATGAAATGTAATTAAGTAGACCCCTGTCCAGACTGGCTGGGATTGGATAGAGGGTTGAGGGTTTTGTAGAGGTGGAATGCCTGTCTGGCAAGTGTCCTGCCCTGAGGTCAAATTCTAGGACTGCCAAAACAATTGTTTCTGATTCAGAATTACCATAACTTTTTCCAACCACTTGTTTACCATCCCTCTTTAAAAGACATAAAATTTAAAATTTTTTCTTCATTAGAGTTCCAAACTCTAATTTTTGTAATTGATCAGCAAGCTGGTTTCCAAAAAACTCAGTGTTGTCTAAAAAAATGTGTTTTTAGTTTATTTCTATTTAATTTGGTTATTTGAGAAGAAACTGTTAGTGAATACAAAATAAAGATAGTGAGGATCGTGATAGTTGATTTCTGATATCTTAAGTACTGTTACTCTCTGAATTACAAGTTCGTATTAATGGCCTATGCAAATTATTAATTACATAAAAATTAGAATAAAATATGTTATAGAAGAGATAAATCTCAGTGCTGATGGCTCACACCTGTAATCTTAGCAACTCATGTTGCCAGGGATCTGAAGATTCAGGATCAAAGTCAACCTGAGCAGGAAAATCTGAGATTCATTTCCAATTAATCCCCCAAAAGCCAGAAGTATAGTGTGGCTCAAGTGGTAAAGTGCCAGCTTTGAGTTAAAAATCCCTCAGTACACACACACACACACACACACACGCACGCACGCACGTACACACACACACACAGGATTTTGTTTAGTGGTTCAATGGATTACAAGACCTTTCTTTCACTTGAGCCTCAATCCCAGTCCAACACACACACACACACACACACACACACACACACACACAGGATTTTGTTTGTTTAGTGGTTCAGCGGATTACAAGACCTTTCTTTCACTTGAGCCTCAATCCCAGTCCAACACAGAATGTTTCATCGTTTGTAAAGTTTAAATTATGATTAATCACAACACTAGTTTACACAAAAATGTGAAAATGAAATTTCAGGTAACCATTAAGTAGAGAAATATTTTTAAAATTTTCATTCTCCTCCAAAATATAAAGAAAAATCACAGTGAATTTAGGCACAAGGTAAGTTGTTAGAAATTCTTAAAATCATGTGCTGCTAAGTGTGTTGGTACTCATTACCTCCAGTCTACTTTAATGTGTCCTTTTAATGCTGACATGTTATAATCAATGCTCAAATATCTTCGGCAAAGGAGAGGGGAAGTAATCTTTTACAGTAAACAGAGAAGGACTAGAGGCCTTAAGGTTGGAGTACCTAATGAATTAAAATGAGGTTATCTTAAATATTTCTCTAGGATAATTTGAGAGTGTGGCAGATACCAATGTTTCTCACAAGTTGCTTTCTAAGCATACAATAAGTAATCATATATTTAGATAACTTCAATTTAGAGATATGCATCTCTATAAACAATATATATGTGCAGAGATATCATACATATTATATATAACAGCATATACATGATAGATATTATATGTGCATAGATATTATATATTATCTATAGATACATATATATGCACATATATAACAGTTTTTGGCTTTTTGTTGCAAGCTTGGACCATCTTTAATTTCCAAAGCAATTCATCTTTTTTGTTTTCTTAACTTTTCCATGATATTCATGACATTATTTTAGTATCAAGATGTTTCCATCCCTTTCATTCAGTAAACTCCTTCAGATGTGTTTATAAAGTATTATTACTAATTAATAAGATATCTGTCATTTTGATTTTCTAGAATGGAAGTTAGAGTATTGCCTTTAACATTTTACTTTTAATTTCCAAAACTTAACTGTTTTGGTAGTAAAAATATTGTGGTGAGTCTATCCACAATATTAAATTGATTGCATCATGATACAGTGTTTTGCTGTGAAATATATAAAAACATATTTTTATGGCAGTTCCTTTTGTGTGTGTGGTCTTTGACATGCATGCACATAAGTATCTCCTAAATAGTAACTCTCCTCCATTCTCTCCATCTGAAAGACCCCAATGGGTGTTTTTTTTTCTTTTTTCACATACTGAAGTATGATGAATGGGGTGTGATTGGTTGAAGGCAGGCAAATTTTCCTAACGAGATTTTTACACACCTCTTTCTTTTAGTGACATTCCCAGAATTCCTGAGAGCTCTCATCCTCCACTGGAGTCCAGTAAGTATAGCATTCCTTTGTATTCATAAAATACATTAGAACTAAATTGGAAATAAATACCTGCCATTTCCTTCCATTGGCTGATACAAATTAATTGATATTACTGTGTACTAATGGTGTATTCATTAATTGCAGAATTGAGCCATGCACTCATGGCTCACTCCTGTAAACTGTAGCTACTTAAGAAGCTGAGATCTGAGCATAGCACTTTAATGCCAGCCTGGGCAGAAAGTCTGTGCAATTCTTGTTTCCAACCAAGTAGCAAAAAGCAAGAAATGGAGGTGTGGTTCAAGAGGTAGAGGACCGACCAGCCTGTAGCATGAAAGCCAAGTGAGAATGTGATAACATGTAGTTATCAGATGTTATCACATCCTAGTTCAGCACTGGGAGAGAGCTAGGGAAGGAGTGACATTATCCAAAAAGAAATGTAGTCTTTAACTGACCTGCATAATTGCAACTCCTCTGTATATCACCTTTCTAATAACAACATAAGAAACATATATGCTATATATATTATACATAACAGCTAATATAGCATTTTACCATACCAACTTTTTCCCTTGTTTTTTAATTTTTGTTGTTTTTATGATTGAAACATAAAAATAATTAGGCCAACACCTATGTGGACACACTCTGAGCTGAACTAAAATACCAATACTAGTTCTGTTTGCTGTATTTTCTAAGATACTGGATTTTTTCAGTTTGATAATCAACTCAATCCTATGAGCAGCCTAATAGATAAATATATTAGCACATTTTCCTAATTCCACTGCTAGTTAGTGTCAGCTAAGATAAAGAAGACAGTAAGAAGGTAGGTGAAAGGTTCACTGAAGTTAAATATATCCAGGATTTGAAAGAAGGGAAGTCAAGGGAGCCAGTCTAATGTATATAAGTACAATTGTTAAAACAATTAAAATCACTCAGGGTTAGATATTAAATAAATAGTATGTGTGCAGTAAAATACAGATAAGTAGTGAAATTTTCATTGATACTGAGGAAATGTCCCAGACACTTGTTTCATAATGGATTGTTGGTAAAATAACACTTAATCTTGATTTTCTAGTTACTTTTCTTGTTTTGGTGCCAGTAGTGAGGAGCCTCACATCCTTCTTTAGCTTTTTCTGCTCAAGGCTGACATTCTACTGCTTGAGCCATATCTCAACTTCTGGCTTTTTTGGGTGTTCATTGGAAATAAGAGTTGCCCAGATTTGTCTTCCCAGGCTGGTTTTGACTGATATTCAGATCTCAGCCTCCTGAGTAGCGAGGATTACAACTATGAGCCATGAGTGCCTGGCTTTGGCAGATATTCTATAATATAAAACTAGTGAAAGGTGAGTTAGGGGAAAACAAACCAATGGTAGTGATTAGAGGAAAGAATACACAAGACTAAGGTAAAAAAGGACTGGAGACTAAGTTACCATAGAAAAGGCATTCAGACATTCTTATACCTACTAAAGATGAGCTCTGATTTAAATTTGAGCTACCTAGTGACTGACACAAAGGTGGAAATGGGACTAGTTGTATATGAGCAGGTACTGACAGGATTAAAAGATAAACTAGACTGGCCCTGGTGGTTTACCCTCAAACCCTCACTAGTCAGGAGGCTGAGATCTCAGGATCTCAGTTAGAAGATAGCCTGGGCAGGGAGGTCTGTGCAGACTCTTATCGCTAGTAAACTACTTTAAAAAAAAAAGCTCAGGTACAATGCCAAGCCCCAGGACCAGCCCAGAAAAATAAATAATTGAGTAAATAAATAAACCAATTATTTTAATATTAGAAGCAAACTTTACTAGAAGCAATATTGTTTTTTTGTAAGATCTGAGGAACAAATTATCCTAAAGATACTTGATAAAATTATTTTAAAGAGTTTGCCTGTCTTTTTGTTCATTTATCTGTCTTTGGAGAGAGAGTAAGGGGAGGCTCAGAAATGGAGGGACAAAGTGTGAACAAATGCATCAGTGGTACCCACTAGACACTATGTTGAAAATGAACTATACAACTTGTGGGTGGGGACAGAAAGGGAAACTGGAAGAGTGAATGTTCTCATCACTTTACTTATGAAATGTTAACCCCTCTGTACAATCACCTTAATAATAACAATACAAAAATTTTAAAAAGACACAGTCAAAAAGTGTTTTATGTAGTTTAATATCAAGAAAGGAAGAAAGGGGGAAGGAGGGAGGGCAGGAAGGAGGGGAGGAGAGAGAGAGGAAGGGAGATAAATAAGCCATGCATACGCTCAGGAAGGATCCCAAAATATGTTTCTGAATGGAGCATTAGCGATTTTCTGTTAAGAAGAGCTTTGTGTTCAACATTATGCTTAAGTATAATTGCATTCTACAGACATTCTATACTTCTGAATGCATCAGGAAATACACTATAATAGTATACTATAATAGTAAAAAGAGTCACGTATTGACTAAAGGAGGAGCCAGCCCCCTCCACATCAAGGTGAAAAAAGGTCACTTGCAGTAAATTAATGAGAAGCATCCTAGAGTAGTTTAAGAGATCTATTTGTAAGATGATAAATTAGATTTAAAATGATAATGAAATGTGAAGTTAGATATGACTGAAAATTTTCTAGTATGGGCAATTAATTACACTTATGCATTAACCACATAACTAATATTCTAGGCACCCTCTTCTTATTGCCCTGGTTTTTTTTTTGTTGTTGTTGTTGTTGTTGTTGTTGTTGTTGTGTGTGTGTGTGTGTGTGTGTGTGTGTACCTGCACTGGGTCTTGAACTCAGGGCTTAAGCACATTCCTGATGTTTGTTGCTTACAGCTGGTGTTCTACCACTTAAATCACACTTCCACTTCTGGCATTTTAGTGGTTGATATAATGGTGTCATGGACTTTTTTTCCCAGGCTGGCTTTGAACCATGATTCTCAGATCTCAAGTCTTCTGAGTAACCAGGATGACATATGTGAGCCAGCAACACCCAGCTTTCCTGCTCATTAATGTACATCTGTGTGTGGACTTATTCAAGAGCCTAAGCAGTACAGTCCCCTCCAGCCATGTAGATGAATACTTTTAATTTGGAAACAAAGGAAATTCAGCATCTTTTTGTGTGATTTAAAATATCTTTAAAAAGAATTTATCTGAAGAAGACAAAATAACCTGCTACACTTATCCCTTTAAAATAGATTATGTTGCCCATAGATTATTGTATAGTAAGAATTAAGGCTTTATGTCTTTATAGTTTTGTAAAATATGATTTTTTTCTCATCATAGGTTCAAGTTCCTTTGAATCTCAGAAGATGGAAAGGCCTTCTATTTCTGTGATTTCTCCAACAAGTCCTGGAGCTCTAAAAGATGCCCCACAAGTGTTACCAGGGCAACTCTCTGTATGTACTCTTTGTACTTTCTGGAATACATTCATGTTTTCTTACTGAGAGTCTTCTGGAAGCTCACAATTAATACATAATAATTTGGCACCATACTGTTCTTCATGAATTTTCTGTATTTCTTCAGTACTTGGTTATTCTTATGTTTATATATAAATATTTATTGAATGGCTATAGTTTACCAAATGCTCTAAAAATATTAATTGATAAATGATAACTTTTATAGAATATTCACTCTTTTGGGTATGCTATATCAAATTAGGTAATTATTTAGCATGTAGTTGACTTAGGGAATCACGTTCAATTTACTTAACCACCTGATAAGCCGAGAGGCTGAGGACCTTAAATTTCAAATAATCTGTTTAGCTTCCTAAGGTGTGAGTTGCGGAAATAACATATACAGGGTGCCTGCAAGACACTCACTCACCACTGCTTTATTACAAAAAGCAAAAAATCGTTAATTATCATGAAGAACTTTGAATCTGTGTAGATTCAAGTGGGACATGGGAAATGTATTAATAACTAAAAATTGTTTCACATTCTTCTAAAAATAATTAAATTTTTCTTTTGATAATGCATGTTTCTTTTCTTCCCTTTTTTTATTTCTGTCATTTGTAGGGCTTAAACTCAGCGCCTTGGCGCTGTCCCTGAGTTTTTGTGCCCAAGGCTAGCACTCTATTGCTTTGAGTCATAGCGCCACTTCTGGTTTTCTGGTAGTTAATTGGAGATAAGAGTCTCACAGACTTTCCTGGCTGGGCTGCCTTTGAACTGTGATCTCTGATCTCAGCCTCCAGAGTATCTAGGATTACAGGTGGGAGCCACCAGCATGTAGCTAACATATGCATTTTTAAGTCTACATGTCCCTTAGCTTTTTTGTCAAAGCTGATGCTGTATCCAGTTGAGTCACAGCTCCACTTCTGGCTTTTTTTTAAAACTGGAGATAAGAGTTTCATGAACTTAAACAGGTGGACCCTTTGCAACAATGAGATGTACAAGACATTATGTCAAAAAACAAACTTTACAACTTTGGTGCAAGTGTGGGGGTGGGGGTGGAGGGGAGGAGATGGGAAGGGATGGGAATGGGAAACAAAGGAGGAGGCAACAATGCTTGATAAGAAATGTTCTCATTACATTGCCCATGTAATTGTAACCCCTCTGTACAGTATTCCTACAATTAAAAAAAAGATTCTTTAAAAAATGTTTCATGGACTTTTCTGATAGGACTGGCTTGGAATTATGATCCTCAGATTTCAGCCTTCTGAGTAGCTGGGATTGCAGATATGAGCCACCCACCACTGGCTTGACAGAACCAGATTTTTAACTGCCCCTTATTCTACACATAAAATTCCTGTAGTTTTGTTTGTTTCCATGGTTCTTACATATGTTCCAACATATACCTTTTATATACAAATTAATAATATATGTTCATGTGCATATTAATCATGCACACTTATGATTTTTATTTAACCATAAAATCAAAGAAAAAACTGGTCATTTTCTCCAGTACACACACTGAACAGACTAATGTTTAATTTTTTAAAAATATATTTTTTTATTGTAAAGATACTGTACAGAGGGGTTACAGTTACATGAGAAAGGCAATGAGTCCATTTCCTATTGAGCATTGTTACCCGCTCCTTTGTTTTTCTCCTACCATCCCTTTCCTCCCCACCTCCCTAACTCCTCCCCCCCAAAGTTGTAAAGTTCGTTTTCAACATAGTGTCTTGTACATCTCATTGTTACAATGGGTCATCCTGTATCCTTATTTCAGCATTTCGTTATTTCCCTTTCCTTCCCCAAATTAGAAGAATGTATGTAAAGATACATTGACAACAGGAGTTGTACCATGGGGGAAGAACATACAAAGAAACAAAAAAAAATCACATAGTACATTATAATTACCTTAAAAAGAACAACAAGAAAGATAAAATCTCTTGGGATTCATTTCTCTTAACATTAGGTTATATGGTCATATGTACATAGCTTTAATGTTTAATTCTTGCTACTTTTGTTATTGTATGTTGGTGTTCTGTTTGCCCATTTTTCTTTAGTCTAATTATCACGAAATTTTCATCATTAGGTATGTTATCTGCCCTTCATGTAGTTTGAAAGAATCGTTTATATGTTAGGCTCTCCTTTCTTTTGTCCTTTTCTCTCATAGAGATTAAATGTAACAAGTTAATCACTTTTTTTTTTTAATGGAGCTAGAGGCTAGTGGCTAACACCTGTAATCCTAGCTACTCTTGAGTCTGAGATCTGAGGATCATTGTTCACAGCCAGCTTCAGCAGAAAAATCTGAGATGGCTGGAAGTGGAGCTGTGGCTTGAGCAGGGAAAACTAAGGAGTAGCACACAAGTGCTGAGTACAAGCCCTAGAACTAGCACTAATTAATTAATTAAAAGTTAAATGGGAAAATTCCAGTAAACATTGGGTAGTGCCTTACATGTCAAGTTGAAAACTATTGATCATGTGCTCTGATCATTTCCAATCCCTCACACCTTAACTTATGTCACTGAACTTATTTAATTAATTGAGACACTTAAACTATCTGTACAACAGTACAGAATACATATTGCTCCTCCCATAAAGATAAAAATCACCAACCATTCATTTTTAATACTTAAAAACAATAATTGTTGCAGTGTTCTCTGACTTAAAACATTGCCAGGTTTATTTACATAGTGTTAGGTATTGTACTTCAGGATTGACACCTGGAAGTTGTTTAAAACTTAAAGAGAAAAGTGAAATTTCCAAGTGGTTACCCTAAATAATTTGTAAAATTCCATGTCATTGCAATTCACAATGCCTTTCTCTAAAAAGAACTGTAATATAATTTTAGGTAATAAGGATTACACCTTGTGACAGTTATAAATAATCACGTTTCTTCTTTGTTCTTAGGTGAAGCTGTGGTATGACAGAGTGGGGCACCAGCTGATCGTGAATGTTCTACAAGCAACAGATCTACCCCCTAGAGCAGATGGCCGGCCTAGAAATCCCTATGTAAAAATGTATTTTCTTCCAGATAGAAGGTAGTAAAGCATTGGAGAAAAATATTTTTAAACCTTTGCAAATGGAAAAAGTAGAATTTTCTTTTATATTTTTCTTTTATACTTCTTTTATAAGGTAATACATTATTTTTTCTACTGGGGGAATGGAATAAATGATGTCATCGCTGAAAAAATATATTCCCAGGAGTCCTTCATTTTATCTTACTTTATTTACTTGTTATTTATCTATTTTTTTTCTGTTAGTAGTAGGGCTTGAGCTCAGGGTCTTGTACTCTTGCTTGGCTCTTTCCACTTAAATTCACTTCCAGCTTTTTTCTGGTTAATTGGTGATGAAGGTCTCATAGACTTTTCTGGTTTCAAACTACTATCCATAGATATCGACCTCCTGAGTAGCTGAGTATCCTGGCTCTCTGGAGACTTTTATTAATTTGAAAATATTCTTCCAATTTTAAATAACCATCTGTCTACCTATCTGTATCTGTATTGGATACTCATATCACTAAAATGTATCTTTGTGTATGTACCTAGAATCATAACTACTTTTTTTACAATGTTTTTCCAGACTTAGTTCTATTAAAAGAGAATCCCAATGGTATTATTACATATAATTACAGTAGATGGCAGTATGTCCTTATTTTTGTTCATTTATTCACAAAAATCTTCATTTTTTTCAGTGACAAAAGTAAAAGGAGGACCAAAACAGTAAAGAAAGTTCTAGAACCCAAATGGAACCAAACTTTTGTCTATTCCCATGTACATCGTCGCGATTTTCGAGAGCGGATGTTAGAAATAACTCTGTGGGATCAGCCTAGGGCACAAGAAGAAGAAAGCCAATTTCTTGGAGAGGTGCTGTATATTAGGAAGATTTAACTCAAATGCTTATTGATGCTTTGCAATATATCTGTTATGAGTATTTTTATGTGCTGTTTGGAAAAGGTACCGGATTTCATTTGAGAACTGTCTTTTTAGATCCTTATAGAATTGGAGACAGCACTTTTAGATGATGAGCCACACTGGTATAAACTTCAGACCCATGATGAGTCTTCACTACCTCTGCCCCAGCCGTCACCCTTTCTGCCCAGGCGACATCTTCATGGAGAAAGCTCTAGCAAAAAGCTCCAACGTAGGTTGAGGTCTTTTCAGTTCTCACAGATGAAATATTTTGTCATCATTTGAAGATTAATTCAAAATATTTTCAGATGTTTTATGAGATATAAAACTATTGGAAAACTTTCCATCTCTATAAAGACATTTGGCAGACATATTTTTCTTCATTTTCACAATACAATTGTATATACAGCATGTATAGAGCATAGTAGAGCTTGAAAGCAAAAAACTCTGGATAGTAATTTTGTGAAAAAATGAATTGTTCGTTGGTTGACCAGCGGAGTCATTTGTGCTATTACTAATTGATTTTGAGATACGATAAGGTCGTGTTAACTTTATAGTTATTAGAGGTATCTTCCTATTATTACTCACAATTTTTGTAACATTTTAAAAATCTTTTAAAATTATCTGTAAGCATATTGATATTCCACTGATGGTTAAGAACAAAGAAATTCTATCAATATCTAGTAATTTTTAGGTATTGGTCACTCATACCTGTAATCCTGGCTACTCAGGAGGCTTAGATCTGAGAAGGAAGGTTCCAGGTCAGCTTGCAAACAAATCCTTGAGACTCTGATCTCCTATTAATCTGCAAAAAGCCAGGAGTGAAGGTATGGCTCAAATTGTAGTGCTAAAGACTTAAGCCAAATGTGTTTGTGAGGCCTTGAATTCAAGCCCCAGTACACACACACACACACACAAACACACACATGCACGCATGCACGCACACACGCGCGCGCGCGCACACACACACACACACAACACCAGTAATTTTTGAGTTGTGAGCAAATATCTCGTTTAACCACTGAAACTTACAAGCTTAATTTTGGTAACTGCTAACCAAATTTTTTTCATACAATTGGATATTATATGTTATTTCTTCTCTGATCAATCATTTCCTTAAAATCTATTTTTAATGTCACAGGATGGCTAATTTTAGAAGCGAAATGTATTTTCTAAAGGGCCCAATGCCTTGTCAGGACTGCTTTCTCCATAGAGCTGCAGCAAAGAGAAAGCTCTTGGAGACTTTCCACTCAGCATCATCCTTGAAATGCAGAGGAAGGTCCTTTAAGTTAATTTATTCACTCTACTGAAAGCTTTTAGGTAGTATTTTAAATATATAATAATCTCAGCAGTCTTATTCTCTGAAGCTCCTTTGTCTTTATGTCTTCAGTATTGTAAGTACATTTTGAGAAAATGTTATCCTTTGAGAACATACTGTTATTTATCTTTCTACCTACCTACCTATTTATTTATTTTTAGTGCCAACACTGGGGCTTGAATTCATAGCCTCACATTCTCACTTGTCCTTTGTCTTTTTAAGGCTAACAGTCTGCCACTTGAGCCACAGCTCCACTTTTGGCTATTAGTTGAAGATAAGGTACTAATGGACTTTTCTGCTCAGTCTGGTTTTGAATCTTGGTCCTCAGATCTCAACCTCCTCAGTAACTAGGATTTCAGGCCTGAGCATCCAGTACCTGGCAAACAATTTTGTCTTGAAAACTCAGCTCCGTGTTTAAGTTGTGTTGTTCTTGTTCCCAGTATTTACTAGCAAGTAATTAAGCATTAAGAAAAAATAAGCATGTCATTTACCATGCAGACACAGAGGTATCTGTTTGCCTTACTGTTGTACAGGATCTCAGCGAATCAGTGATAGTGACATCTCAGATTATGAGATTGATGATGGTATTGGAGTAGTTCCTCCAGGTGCGTGGATGTGAAGAGCATGGCTCTGCTTCCCTGTGTGTCAACTGCCAGACTTCTTCCAGATACTGAGCTGGATTTCTGCAGCACAGAAAAAAAAATCAGTATAATGTTATTCCATGGTGACTTGTGTTTCCAATTGTTAAAACGTTGAAAATGACTGAACTAGTATCTATTAACACCATCCCTGTTTGCTTCATTTAATCAGGCTCTTCCGTAGAAGCAGCATAGTCAGGAAAAACAAATTCTCAATTTCACAATGCTCTGAGCATAAGTAAACATATGAATTTCATTTTGCAAGGATATGGTTTAAATTCCATTCTCCTGTGTCTTATATTGCATTTATGTGATCTGTTCTCTTCCTTCGTTTCTGAAAATAATGTAGCAGTCCATGGAATATACTGAGGAAGGTGCATGGCAGGGTTGGAAATTGCATGTGGCATGGCTATCGCTTTTAGCGCTTCTGTGATGTGCTCACCACTGACAATGCCTAGATTGTGTGTGTATATGTCTTTAAATAGGAAAATGCTTCAGAAAGATCCAACGTTAATTTGAAATGAACAATTTGTCATTGTATAGTTGGTCAGATTTGGGGGCATATTTTACAGTTCGAACTTGCATTTCCTATCTGGATTTTGTCCGGAAAGTGTGTAAAATCAAGTACTAATGGTTAATCCTAAGTAATTTCCTTTGGTTTATTAATAAAAGGAATATTCAATATTCAACAGAATATTGAATAAAGGAATATTCAAATAACAACAGATTAAAGGGTCCTGTGTTGAAGAAACGTGATTTATTGAAACCAGCTTGTTTGAATAGTGTTTATATATGTCCTCTTAATTTATGTCATTTTTCAAAAGGAGATGCACTTAATTTGAGGGCAATAATAGCTTTTGTAAATTATCAACTTTGGAAAAATTGGTTCTACACTAGTGACCAAATTCACAATTTGATGTAGTGCATACAGCTTCATTGGACATAGGAGAAAATTATGGAGAGTTCTATAAACTTAGTTGGATTGGCTCTATATAATTCAGAGAAAGTACAGTATTTAATCATGTAGGAGAGTAGCATAGTTGGGTATGTTGGCACATGCCTGTAATCCTAACTCTTCTGGAGGTGGAGACAGAAGACCTGCCATAGTTGAGGCCCATCCACACAAAGTGAGAGAGACACTATCTCACAACACAATACCAACAAAAGGGCTATGGGGTGTGGACCAAGTGTGGATCACTTGTATGGTTTGTTTCAGGCCTTGGGTTCATTCCTCAGCACCACACAAAGTAGCAAACCAAATATTGTTAAATCAAAAGCTTAGTATTATGAACACCTACATATTTATATATTACTCTTTGATATCAAAGTATACGAGGAAGATTTGAATAATACTGTATAAGTATTTTCTATTTTTTTAAAATTTCATTTGGTTTCTTTTTCTTTGTGCTGATCCTGGAGCTTGAACTCAGAGCCTGGGAACTATCACTGAGCTTTTTGACTCAAGGCCAGCACTCTACTACTTGAGCCATAGTTCTGCTGTCAGCTTTTAGCTGCTTAATTGGAGATGTGAGTCTCACAGGTTTTCTCCTGGCCAGCCTGGCTTTGAACCATGATCTCAGAGCTCAGCCTCCTGAGTATCTAGGATTACTAGCTTTGAACCACCTGTGTCCAGCTGTCATTTTTATTTCTTAAAGAAATAAAATCTGTAGTTGTATATATTCCCAACAGAAACTTCCAGAATATAACAGATTATTGTTTTTTAAAAATGAAACTGAAAGGAAAAATGACGAAATTTAAATCTAAGATCATATTCACATAGGAAGTAGATTAATGTTATAGCAGTTAGTAGATAGGATAGCTATCACATATAATAAAATTCTTGACTATTAGGAGTCATAATGTTTTCACCAGCTTACATAGAGTTTTCTTCTATGGGTTGGTCTTACATTATATTCACATAAAATTTTGTAATTTTAACTAATTAATTAATTAATTTGGGTCTGGTCGTGGGGCCTGAACTCTGGGCCTGGGCGTTGTCCTTCAGCTTTCAGCTCAAGGCTAGCACTCTACCACTTGAGTCACAGCGCCACTTCCGGCTTTTTTCTTTTTGCTTATGTGGTGTTGAGGAATCGAACCCAGGGTCTCAGGCATACAAGACAAGCACTCTACCACTGAGCCACCTTCCCAGCCCCAAATTTTGTAATTTTAATAATGAGACAGGGCACGGGGCACAGCTGATGTGCAGACTAAATGTTTACTAATGTGATTAGTTTCTTTTATTTTTTCTTTTCTGATATGAGATACTGAACAGTTAAAATGGACTATAGGATCTACTACAAATGGGATTAATTTTTTGTACCAGGAAAGAACACAAAATTCTAAAAAGGTCTCAAGTCCAATGCTGAAATGTTCTTATCAGAATGTATGATGCACAAATAATATCCTTTATCATATAGGAACAATGTTTAAATTGTTATTTGAAATAACATTTCTATTCTTCTATTTAGCTTTTATTAAATCAATTGTAGGGCTTAAACTCAGGGTCTGGGCCCTGAGCTTTTTTTGCTTAAGGATAGTTTTAGCCACACTTAGACATCTGGTTTTTAGGTGGTTAATTGGAACTAAAAGTCTCAGGCACGTTCTGCCCCAGTTGAATTCGAAATTTGATTTTCAGATCTCAGCTTCCCAAGTATCTAGGATTACAGGCAAAAGTTACCAGCATCCAGATTTATTTAACATCTTAAAGTGCATTGAGCCTACATTTTGACAGATTATAATCGTTTATATAAGTCATAAAAATTTATTTCTCTTCATAGTCATACAGTTTATTTGTATTTTCGAGTAATCATCATCCAATAATGCACAGCTTGTAGCATATATAGCTATATGACACAAATGCAATGTAGTGAAATCACACAGTGATATACCTTTTATTTATTTATTTATTTTGTTGATTGTGGGGCTTGACCTCTAGGCCTGGGCATTGTCCCTGTGCTCTTCACCTCAAGGCAAGTGCTCTACCACTTCAGCCACAGTGCCACTTCCAGTTTTCTGGTGGTTTATTGGAGATAATAGTGTCATGAATTTTCCTGCCCAGGCTGGCTTGAAACACAATCCTCAGCTCTCAGCCTCCTGAGTAGCTAGGATTACAGGCATGAGCCACAGGCATCTGGCATGATTTTAAATAAAGAGAAAAATTGATGTATGGAGAAAATATGCAATAAGGTAAAATGAAGTCAAGGATTTTATTGATAAGCACAATATATTATCACTGTTAGAGATAAATTATAAAAAATAGCTTGTTCATTTTTCTAACATACAATGTGAAGAGAAAATTTATATCGATGAAATTTCTTATTGACCTGAAGAATCTCAAATGCTTAGTTCAAAATGCTGTACCACAGCAAATCTTAAATGTCTTTATACCTTGACTTTTCTAAAATCTGTTCCACATATTTAATAGTTTTTATGAAAGATAAATATAGTAGGTTGTGAATTTATATTTGATGAACTCTTCAAAGATCTTCCTCAGAGTATAAGTTTAGTTACAAAATTATGATATTACACAGATTAACTGCTAGGAAACGATTAGCTTTTAGAAATGATGTTTTATGGCATTTTTAAAAATAATACATGACTTTCAAAGTTAAAGGATGAACAAAACTTTAAGTTGCCCAGCTAAAAGACTACTTCCATGGTGCAGGTGCATTTTATGTAGTTGAAAATATAACTGCTGTTTCCTTTTACCATACATTATTATTTTATTTTCTTTGTACTAATAGAAAATAATGACCATTATGGGAACATTCTAAATTTCAGCTTCTGTACAGTTGAGATTACTATTTTTTTCTTAATCAAATTAGAGATGATATAAGAAAAACCTTTTATACTCCAGGGAGAAAGATCATTATAATTTAGTTTTAATTGCACTTTTTGTCAACTGCATTAGTTAAGTCATGCTACATTCACAACCTATGGAAGAAATGTCCATGGTAGATCTGATGTTTTAGTAACGTTAATTTTTCTCTACATATTACCATAATCATCTTCACTCATAAATTATATTTGAAAATATTTGCAGTATTACCTATGATTTGCAAAATTCATTATCTATTATTTGTAACACTCAAATTTCTTCTACACTCTTTGTTTTTTAAAAGCAGTCTACCAGTTTTCTTTTTCACCCTAGACTTTTGATAGAATAGTTTTATTGTCCATTTATTAGTGAATCTGTTTGCAATTCATCTACAATCTTCTAGAAGATTCAAATAAAGAATTTATATAAATTTAAAAAGATACAAAAATTCTAAGCATTGACTTGCATATTAGTGATAGTTCACAATCAACTGCCTGATGTATGTTGTTGAAATGCTACTAACTCATTTGTTCTTTCAATTAAAATAGTGTCCTAAGTCATCATAATGTCTGAGGCATTAACTGTCACGTTCATAGTTGGTATCTTCATAGTAGTGTGGAACCAAAGAGTAATTGTTCCTATGCATGTATATGTTACACTCTGTGTACGTATACATAATACTTTGGAAGACAAGCCTAACACTATTGATTGCATGGCACTTAAGATTAATAGGTTGATGGCTGCATTAATAGAATTTTGTTTTTTAATGTTTGCCTGATGGAAGAACTCTAACTTTTTTTGTGTGTGTATATATTTTTGTCAGTGGGTTATAGGTCTAGTGCTAGAGAAATTAAAGCAACCACATTAACAGTGCCGGAACAGCAAAGAACCACTCACCACCGCTCACGCTCAGTATCTCCTCATCGCGGCGATGATCAGGGAAGGCCGCGTTCACGTTTACCAAATGTGCCATTACAGAGGTAGGTATTCAAGAGACTCTGAATTGCCATAAGAATAAATCTGCAACAAAATAATGGTTATGTCAATCAAATTTGTTTATTAGAACTATTTGTAGCAAAATATTTATTCTTCACCCAACCTATGCAATACTTTGTTCTTTAGTTTTAAGAAGTTCTCTAGAGGATGGAAAATATTTATATTCTAAGCAGAGCATTGAATAACTATCGCTTTCTGCTTGCAAGTTTTCATTCCTCTTAGGGGAACTCTCTCAATAATGAAGCAGAATTATGGAGGAAAATGGCAGAGGGCAAGCTTGAAGGAGAATGTTTCTTAAGAGAATTAGCATTACATAGTTGGAAAAGTTTCAGTGCAGGAAAAATTTTCTAAAACATGTGTATTATTCTATCCTATCTTACTTTGGCTGTGCAACAAGAGTTGTAGTGATGAGGATCATAATTATGTCCCTTTTTTTGATTGTGATGTAAAAGGAAGTTGGAGAAATGTAGCACAAGCAAAGCTGATTGTGTACTCTTAAAAATAATTGATTAAAATAAGCATGAGAGCTGAGTGCTGGTGCTTACAACTGTAATCTTAGCTATTCAAGAAGATTGCAGTTCAAAGCCAGCCAAGGCAGGAAAGTTTTTGAGACTCTTATCTCCAGTTAACCACCAAAAAAACCAGAAGTGATGCTATGGCTCAAGTGGTAGAATGCTAACTTTGAGCAAAAAAGCCAAGCGAGAGAAAAAGACCTTGAGTTAAAGCCTCATTATTGACACAAAAATAACAACAACACAAAAATAGGTTTAAGGATGATACCAACACAGTTTAAACCACATTATTTGTTTGCCAATTTCTGTCCATTTATTTCTCTTATTCTGGGTAACATTATTAGGAGTTGGTATGCTTTGACACATGAATATTCTTTGTAATCAATTTTAGGAGCTTAGATGAAATTCATCCAACCAGAAGATCACGCTCTCCAACCAGACACCATGATGCCTCCCGAAGTCCCATTGACCATAGAGCCAGAGATATGGACAGTCAATATTTATCTGAACAAGACAGGTACTTGTCCAAATTATTATCTTACCACTGTGAGTTTTTCTCCCTTCTAACTTGATGCGCACAGATACGGTGGCATACTACATTAAAAAGTGAAATTATTTCATCATTCAACCCCAAACTTCACTCTGGAAATGTTTAAGACATTCTAACATAAATGCAACTCTAGAAATTAATGGGCCAACATTATACAGTTGTTTTTTTAAATCATGTATTATATTTATATTTAGCCAGTTGCAAACATACAGTTGTTGATTTAGATTTTGACATAAATTATAGAAGGGCACCTATAGGAGCAATTTTCAAGTATTCATCTTTTAGGAGTCACTGTGTTTGGGATGCTGTTTTTTGTAATTAGTAAATTATGTAATGAAATATTTTGAACATGGGTTATCTGAAAGGCAGCTAATATTACAGATTTTCTGTGATAAATTCAATCATATAGTATTTGTGATAAATCACTTTTAAAATAAAATGTCTTTCCATAAATTCCTATAAAACGTAAGATACTAAGATGGGTTCTGTCTTATATGAATATGACTTTAGTTCTGCACTTATTTATGAGAAAATGCTTACTGCAACTTTGCATCATGAACCAATTGTTCAGCCTGCCCATTGAGCCTTACAACCATGTGCTTGTTTTGTGAGGCTGACCCGAAGCTCAGGGGCTGGTTTAAAGCTTCACAGTATTTAGTAAGTGTTGGATGTACCCTTCTGGCTTTATGAAGTAGGGGAATTTACTTTGAGTTATAGGGAAATGATAGTGTTACTGAGTGATTCTATAGCATGGAATCAAGCCCAGGATGACTTTTTCAACTACCTCATTGACTGGGACGTGGGGCTATGACCTTCAGGAGGGGATTAACAATGGTCACAGGGACAGGAAACTGCTCTGAAGAATAGGGTTCTAGACTTCTCACATTCATTTGGGTCTCTGAATTTTAGTGCGGCTGGCTAGCAAGGGTTATCAATTATAGTGAATATAATTAATATATATAAAAGGTACAATTTTAGTGTGAAAATCCTAATCACATCCATTCCTACTTGATGAAGAAAAAAGTACTGTCTATTGAATTTTCAGTGGCTATACAAGCCAAGAAAATTATCATGAATTAATTTGCTATAAAGAAAAAAAAAGCTTTTAAAGTTCCAGTTAATATCAGAAAGACGAAGCATGTATTGTTTAAATATTCACATGATTATACTTGAAAACATATTCCTAGTAGCTTATGAGGAAAATTTAATTTTATTTTGAGTTTATGTTCTACAAAATAATATTGAAACACACTAGCAGATCAGCAACAGCATATAGGACTCAGCCACAATGTTTGTACTTTATTGTTTAAATTTTTTAAATACTGTCATGTTTATTTATTTATTTATTATTTATTTATTTTTCTTTAACCTCTCAAGCAAGTATGCTAGTGCAGACAATCTGGTTTCTTCCCTTTTCATGTTTCCATTGGCATACCATCGGCATAACCCATGTCATTTAATGCCTCATAATTTATCTGTTTCACTCACCACCCATCCTGTCTGTGCAGTGAGCTTCTTATGCTGCCCAGAGCAAAACGAGGACGAAGTGCAGAATGCCTACATACTACCAGGTAATTACAGGGATTTGGTAATGGTGACTGTGTGTGATGACTTTCTTTCCATTCTCCTATTCTTCCGTCTTTTGTTCAGTAGTATTATGACAAGTAGAAATTTACTGAGTATTCAAAAATTGCTTTACCTTCTATGGAGGTTATGAAAAACTTTCCAGATACATTCCAGTTCTAATCCAGACAGACTACTTGGCTATCTAAAGTTCAAAATTCAAAAAGAATAAGCCTGTGTGAAACTATTTTCACATTCAGAAAACCCAGGCACTAGGAATCTGCAATTACAGTTCCAGACACTCACTCTAAGTACTTCCTGCTCCTCCTAGCACACACATCAACTGTCTAGTCACCGTTCTGATCTGTGCATGGCAGTGTTAGTGGTTTCACGATTATAATTTCGCCTTTTGTTTTCATTTTTTCCTTTTGGAATTTACTGTTATTTTATTCATATGTCAATTGTGTATATTACAATATTACCAGAGCATTTTTAATGCTAGACCTTCAGCTTCCTTCTTGTTTAAAGATGTTTGACCCTTTAACTTCTTAACTTATCAAGCCTCTGCCAGAATAGAAATAATGCATTATAAAATTTCCCTTAAACATGTGAGTAAAAATACCTTTTATTCAGATTAGGAGAAAAAAGATCAGTCTCCTGGAAATTACATCTTAAAGCTTGATACTTTATGATAGTCTCATTAGATCTTGAATTTTATATCTAAAGAACATTTTTTTTACAGTTTATTCATTTTACAAGTCTAAAGTTACCCTAGTGATAACTACTACAGTGTTTCTTTTAAATACTTGGGAAAATAGATGAGGAAATATTAACCAATATAGGAAAACATAAATCAAAAATACTGTAAAAATCACTCAATTCAGATGCCATACTGTTTAAGATTATCATTAGCTTTTCTTCTTTCTAGGCAATCATATTGTCAATAGATGGTTGTTCAGTAATTCTGAATGTTTGTACCTACTTTTGCTGATGGGACTACAAACAAAATAGACACATAGGCATACATGCACAGGTACACACACTCTGTATTTATTAAAGTACTTGTGTGTGCCTGGCATCTCATGTATATTTCTAGGCTACATACATCAGTAGTTCAAATAGAGTAGATCAGTAAGTTTTTCCATGTCCTTATTTTGTACCAGTATTTGTGAAGGCATCATTCTATGCCATCTTAATCTGAATGTTGACATTTTACTAATAATTCTGAAATCCATTTGTATTATTGGTTTCATAGAATCAATTTGTTGATTTACATGTCTGATTCATGCAATAATCATATAGTTAAAAGTTAATCATATAGTTAGTACTTGAATGAACAGCAGAGACAGATCAATCCCTGAAGCTGATTGTATAACAACAACAACAACAACAAAAAGATAGGAAATGAAATTAGAACTAGTTAGAGGGGTAAAGTCATATGTATCTTAGTGTTTTCTTTTACCACTTCCTTCCTGATATTTTTAATAACGGTAATTGTCCCACTTGTTTTTGACTGCCAAATGCATTTTTAGTACAACTACCCATAATCATAACAACTGCCCTTTTAGTCCTCAATTTTCAAATACTTCTCATTCATTTTATTTTCTGTAAGGACAGAAAACATAAATTCAAATATATGTATTTTTATGCAATGTTTTCTGTATCTGTACTAATGCATTTATAAAAAGTTTTCATCAGTATTTGTATAATAAAATATACAAGCATAAATAATCATATATGTATATATAGATATGTAAATAATTAGCTTGTTTTCATATAAATTATGGAAAGTTATTATCAATATAGCTTTTAAGGTTAAATATTCTCCAATGCTTTAAAAATTTATCATTATCATGTTTACTCTATTTTTAAGTATAAATAATTAAAAAATTAAAATCTGAGGATTTACTACCTTCAATAAATCTGTATGTTATTGAGTACAGTATTAGTATTTAGTGCACCTTATCTTGGTTTTCTGAGAATACTGTGCTATGAATATTACTTTTTCATTTTATATATGAGGAAAACAATTCTCAGAAAGTTAATTTGCTTAAATCACAATAAAGATACAAGATCAAATCTACTTCATAGTTTTCAAATAACTAATTTTTCCAACTATAATAGTTGGTTCTATGAGAGGTTCTATCACCAAAACTAATTTTGAGTTAAGTAGCTTGGAAATTTTACAAACTAAAGTCTTCCCTGCTATGAGTATTGAAGAATTCTAAAGTATAAAGAAACTGATTTTGTATTATTTAATCCACTTAGACCAAATTGATCATCATGACATACATTTTTCATAAAATATTTCTCAGAAAGTGGTAACATTCCAAAGACACTGTAGCTATCTTTGTTGTGGATATGTTTTCCATATTATCTCATCTAATCCACATAGTACTAATTAAGTGGTTATATCTGCCATATTATAGCTGTAAAACAGAGTCTTCACCTGGTTTTCCAGATCATAGCCACTGTGCTTCACTTGAGTATTTATACAAGTTTAGACACTCAGACTATACTTTCCCCATCCATTTCCCATTTCATGTGATCTCTGTTAAAGTATTCCTGAAAAATAATTTTTGAGGATATTTCTTAGGAAATTTTATAGCAACTTATTACTAAAAGTGTTTGCCTAAGGGTAGAGATTGCAAAGAAGTTTCTATAAAACAATCTGAATCCTTTCATTAAAAATGTTTTCCTCAACAAGTGCTTCCAATGGGACTCTAGTATTTATATTCCTTTAATTTGACCATTAGCATAAATGTGATCAAATTTGTAGAGTGTTTAATACTCTGCATATCCTTGATAAATGCAGGTTCTCTTCCCTACTTTCTATACTTCAGTGTAAACTAAAATAGATGATAGATTTTCATAAGTGGTAGTTTGTAGAACTTTATTAAACTAGCAAGAAATTAACTAACTGGACCTGGTTTTACTGTTTGTGATGATAAATTTTACCCATGATTGATGTGGATCCCCAAGCTGAGAAATAAAAAGAACTTGCTTTAAGCCATCACTTTCAGGGTCCTTTTGTTCTTTCAGTACCATGACCAAACTCATCAATTCTTTGGATTTTCAACATTCATTCAGTCCTATTTTACCTCTCAGAATTACCCAAACTGCTAATTTGTATTTATCTGTAGGTTGTTTGGTTCTATAAAAGAAGTTATAAAGCCAGAGACTTAAGCATTAAATTTTAACATTTTAATATTTCACAGAATCTGGTTAGCAAGTATTTTTTCTAATTAAGGTAATTATTGAGCAGTATGAAATTAGATGTCTATGATTTCATATTTTATGTTTTATTAATTCTAACCCTGCCTTCAATTATTTGGGCTCTTCAAAGATCCATCCACCTAGCTTTGTAGGTTTCTTAGATTTTTACTATCCTAGTGAAATTTGCTTCATGTGTATTTTTCTGTTTCCTGCGTGTTTGTATTGCCACGTTCCAGACATCTTGTTAAACACTATAAATCATTACCACCCAAGATGCCTTTATTACAGAACGGCTCTCACTGGAATGTCTACAGGTAAGAGCCACACTGTGAGCCCATTGTAAACTAATCCCTAATCCCCTGCCTAACAAAAATTGGAAAAATTTTCTTTAGAAATTGATTACACAGATAGACATTAAATTAACATTACCCAAATCTCGTCTTTGTTGTAAAACTTGATAATTGTAGAACTAATTCTCTAAAGCATATCTCACTACAATGTCTCAGTTCCAGTTGTCTGTCCTTTATTTGTTGTTGTACTTGTTGATTTTAATTATGGAAATTAATTTTATTTTATTTGTGTATGGTTTTAATTTGTGAAGCTCAATTCTGCCTGCACATGCTAAGACCAAATCAGTGACTAGACAGGACATTCCCTTTCATCATGAATACTTTAACTCAAGAAAATTGAGATTTACTGATGAAATACTGGTTAGGTAAGAACACTGGAAGTGTTATCTTCCTCCTCCCTTGTCTGGTGTTGTGAACCAAAATAGTTGAGCTGTAATATTATTTCATCTCTGATGTCCTTCATTTTGTTTTGGTGTAGCATTGTTCGTGGTAATAAATTCTTAGGCTTTTTGTTTTACTTCTTCCTGTATCTAGTTTTTTTGTTGTTTGTTTGTTTTTTCCATAAGTAGAATGTGACTTAAGTGTCATATTTCAGTCTGAAATCCTTTGAAAGAAATTATGCAAAGCAATATAAGCATAATATTTGTTTAGCTCCATCTTCTAAACAAAATTTTACACTTGTCATCCTGTCAACTCTCTCATATTCTTATGAACTGAATCACAGTGATTCTACCTTTTATGTAAAAAGATCATTATTTTATGCTTTACTCTCTAACATGGTCTTCCTTTCTTTGTTTTCTTTGTCTTTCTTTCTACCACTGGATGCAATGCACTGGCACTAGTGAACTACAGCCCTCGCTTGACAGGGCTAGGAGTGCTAGTACTAACTGCTTGAGACCAGATACTAGTTTGCATTCACCAGAACGAGAAAGGTATCAAATAAAGACTTTCTTAATTTCTTATCATTTGTATTGGTGATTTTTTTGATCATTTTGTTTCATGTGTGTCTTGCAGGTTTATTCATTCATGTTCACTTGGCTAATTGTCTACATTTTCTCTGCCTTGATATACATGTGCGTTTGAGATATGTGCATGTGATACGTCCAGAGTGCACATGCACATAGCTCTACGAATGTTGCAAATGGTTTGATGTAATTTGTGGTTGCTTCTAGCTGCTGCTTTCCCTCTTCTGTTGCTGTTCAGTCCTTTTATTTATGTACTACTCAGGGAACCTTCAGTATGCTGATAATATTGTAAAGTCCAGTGAATTACCTCCAGGAAAGGATAACCTTCCTGTTAGTTGTACTGATAAATAGTATTTATACACTTGACTATAATCATGCATAAACCAATAATAGGAATTGCACTTAGACCATATGTTTCCCTTAGATATCTATAGCCACTTTTTAATTCATCTCTTTCGTATAGATGTTCTGTGTTAAATTCATTTTGACAAAAATTATGTGATAAGCAGAGATTTCCTGGGGCTTACAAGAATGAATACATAAAATATATACCCACATAATTTTAGCGGAAAAACTATAAATGTCTGATTGGTTAATCTGACTTTAACTCATAAGGATTATTTGGTAAAGGTTTACACTGTTTTCAAATTGTAAGCATTTAAACTTTTCATTGTGTCTGAACTTTCTGATTCAGTAAATTCAGTTATTACGGAGAGTTTTGTTTGTAATTACCATCCCTTTTTATAAGTGAGAAGTCATTCAGTCATTCAGGGGAAGCTGCAATCTGCTGCTGTATGAATTGTCACACCTGTAATCCTAACTACTCATGAGGCTGTGATCTGAGGATCATAGTCCAAAGCTAGCCAGAGCAGAAAAGTTTGTGAGAAATTTAGTTCCAATTAACCAGTAATTTGGAGATTTTTCTTGCAATTAACCAGTAATTTGGAGATTTTTCTTGCAAAAAGCCAGAAGTGGCAGAGATCAATCAAGTGATAGCGCACTAGCTTGAGCAAAAAAGCCAAGGGAAAGCAAGGAGGCCCTGAGTAACAACATACACAGAAAGAAAAGAAGAACAAAAGGAAGAAAGAGAAAAAGGAAGTAAGGAAGGGATGAAAGGAAAGAAGATGAAAGAAAGGAAAAGAAAAGAATAGAAAAGAAAAATAATTCAAGCTACACATGTATTTTCCAATTGTCTAGGGTGATTTTTTTTTTTTTGTGGAACAAGGAATTGAACTATGGCTTAAGGCATGCTACACCAGAACTTTGTCATTGGAGCTCTAAATTTTGAGAGTTTTAATCCTTATAAACAAGTGTGTTAAAACTTTATTGTATGACTGGGTCACTATTATTTAAAAAAAAACTAATAGCAAGATAACTTGCATTCCTTTATGCCTCCTGAGTCATACATCCTTTGTATATCTTTTTTGCTCTTTCTACCTGAACTAGCCATTCTTGTTACTGCTGGGTGGCACAAGTGTTCTAATGGTGCAGCCTCTTTAGCATGCTTCTTTAAAGCCAGAGTTCACAAATCTGTAAACATCTCAAATTACACCATTAAATCATGTCAGCCATAATTAGTGTACATGTGACTGTCCAGTTCAAGTGAGCAAATATACCAATAATATAGGAAGAAAAATGCATGGAAAACTTTATTCACTGTATGCATTGAATAAAACTATGTTTTCTATAAAAAAAATCAAGGATCCTAAATTTATTGAGAGCACTTTATAGATAATAAGAAAATAAAGTGAGATATATTTTCATAAAATAGGTTACAGGTCAATATTTACATGGTTTTGAAGATGGGGACTATAAAATCCCTTTCTAAGACATGCATAAAAGAAGCTGAGAATGAATGAATAAGGGTAGAGAAAATGGTGTCTGGGATCTTTGGAAACTTCTTTTGTCAAGAAATGTAGGGGGAAGGAAGTGAGAGGTTGGGGTTCATTTCTGTGGTCAGTCATAGGCTGGTTGCTCTAATTTCTAATATATTTATAGTAAATAAAATGGCGAAGAACTCTTACAAAATACCATTTAAAATTATATTGAGTACTGGGGCTTTGAATTTAGGACCTTGTCCTTGGGTAGGTGCATTCTGTACCACTTAAGCAATGTCTCCAATACTTTGAATATTTTTCAAATAGGGTCTTGAGTTTTCCCTTGGGCTGATCTTGGACTGTGATCCTCCTACCTTTGTCTCCAGAGATACATTGGGATTACAGGAATATGACCTGATGCCCAGCTTAATTTTGAGGAAACATATTCCTGGTTATTTCTAGCAGGCATCCCCTCTCTGCTAATTGGCTGGGATTATAGGTATAATTTGTGTTTTTCAGACAACATTATTTCTGGAGCTTCATGAAAGAGTCAGTGATTTGATTATTCTGACTCATTTTCCTAATATTTGTTAAGCTATCCTAAATAGCGTTTACAGCAAATTGTTTTGTATTAACACAAAGAGGAAGCTGTCAAGACACTCTCAGACTCTGACTTCACTGATGATTCAAAAACTTGACAAGAATTAAAAATTTATTCATTTCCCCAAAGAAACTAGAGTGTACCCTAAGTGTACCTTATCTACTTTATTAGATGTTCCATCCCAGATTAACAGAGTGGTTTTAAGTTTTTATTATAATTGCTCACATAGAAGTATTAACTCTTGAAGTTTTATTTCAGTATACAAACTTTTTTGTTTTATTTTCTGAGATTACATGAATAGAAAATTTGCTTACTTATGAATGATCATAATTCAGTAATTGACTCCCATTTAGTCACTCTTTATATCAAGAAATTTGGGATTTATTTATAAGAGATTATCTCTTAGGTAATTTACCTTGGGCCCTGAATCTCCTTCCACATGGAAACAGAAAGGAAGTTTCTATCTATAATTGAAGAACTATAAATTGAAATGAAATACATATCATAAACCTTATTTCAGAGCATAAGTATCTGTCTTAAGTGAAATATTATTTAAAATATGTTGGAGGGACATGTTTTTGAAGGTCTAATATGAATAAGGGAATACAAAATAAAATGTGTGTTGTGTAATCCATAATCTCATTTGGTTTGGTGTCTGATAAAGTATTTAATTTATTTTTGACTCATGCTATTTATATCTGTGCAGTTGCTTTTACAAATAATTAAGCTACTTGGCCATGTGCTACCAAGAGATATGTACCACAACTGATATTGATACGTTCTTGCATGTAATTCATTATATATTTAAGCACACAAATTCACTTTAAGATTTATCAGAGGAGGCTTGATAAGCAATGTACTCATTATCTTGCCCATGTAATTGTAACCCCTCTGTACAGTATTTTTACAATAAAAAAGATAAAAGAACCTCCAAAAAAGATTTGTCAATGCTAATAAATAGATTTATCAGTGCAAGAGAAGAAGCACCATTTAACAATTTTTAATCCATACAATGGCTTGTGAATTCTAATTCTTTCATATCTCTTCAGTGGGCACTTATCAAAACTGTTAGTTTTTTAAAATTCCTCATTGTATTTTACCTAGCACTACTAAGCCCATAGTCTTCTGTGCTTAATATGCATTTTAGTATGTTTTAAAAAAAATCTATTCAGCCTAGCACTGGAGGCTCATGCCTGTAATCCTAGCTGCTCAGGAGGTGGAGATCTAATGGCAGCAGTTCAAAGCCAGCCCAGGAATGAAAGTCTGTAAGACCCTTATTGCCAGTTAACCACTAGAAAAGAGAAACTGATGTATGGTTCAAGTTGTAGAGCACTAAACTTGAGCAAAACAGCTCAGGGATAGCACTCAGGCCTTGTGTTTAAGCAATAGGATCAGCACACACACAAACATTCACAAAATCCTTTCAACAAACAGTTTCTGTATTAGTTATTTTAAAATAGTTGGCATTGAAATACTAACTTAGTAACTTAATTTGTAAGTAGTACAAATTATATAAATATGCTGGTATGGAAAAGAAATCAAAAGACTAGTGTAGTTCAGTGTACTGATTGAAGTCTCTAGCATATCGTGATTATTAATTTAGGAAATGAGACTAGAAGTAGAAGTTGAACCTTTGCATATTTCTCAGTAAGTGGAGGTGCTGGTGGCTCCTGCCTGTAAACCTTGCTACTCAAGAGAGCTGAGATTTGAGGATGGAAGTTCAAAGTCACTTCAGCCAAAAAATCCTTCAGACTCTTGTCTCCAATTCATCCCAAAAAAGTTGGAAGTAGAGCGGTGGCTCAAGCGATAGAGTACCATCTTTTAGAACAAAAAGCTAAAGAATAAAACCAAGACCATGACTTCAAGCCCTAGTACCAATACACACAAAAAATAAATGAAAGTAAATAAATAGACAGAGAGAAAGGGATAAAGATCTCAATTTAGAGCCCTTTATGTGATCCCATTACTTATATCCCAATATAAAAGCACAGAGACTATGCTTTTGAAGCTGAAACTTACAAATCTGTGAGTTAAAAATTGACATAGACAGGTCTCTAGACATTCAGACAATGAGACCAAATGAGGTTATTCATAGGAGTGGATTACAAAGGTTCTATAGCTATGTGCATATGATTATATAAAATAATATTTTGAAATAAACTCAAAGAAATGGAAAGAAGAAAAAATGACATGTTTATTTTTAGAACAAAAACATGCTTATAAATTTATCCTGTTTTCAACTTATCTAGAATATTGTGTAAAGAATGTATTTTCATATGTATACTGAATATCAGCATATTCAGAAGGACTGAGTATATAGATGTTAGTATGCTAAATATTTGTTCAGTAATTACCTTTTTTTAATAGCTTGCCTTCACAGTTGCTTGTTTCTCAATTTGTACACCTTTCCCCTTCATAAATTTCACTGTATGTTTCATAATTACAGTGTTTTGTTTACTTTTATCTTTACTTTTTTGTTAAAATAAACACAAGGACTGGAGTTTTGCTTCAGGAAGCAAAGTTACTCATAATCTTTTAAAGTTGAAGTC